GCAGGGGGTCGGGGGTCCGCGGCGACGACCCGTCGGCGACAAGTCACCGGCCAACGGCGGCGGCCGGAGGCGGCGGCAGGGACCCCGGGAGGCGGGCGACACCAAACCCAACACACGCTCACACGCTCACACGCGGACACCGCCCGCACAGAGTGGACAGGGCCAGGCACGGGAACCGGGGTCGCGCCGGGCACGCGGCGGCGACACGCCGAGAGAGCACAACACCCCGGATCCGGGACAGGGGCGGGGACGAAGCCACACGGCTCGAGACGGAGGAGACGATGCGATGTGGGCAAGCCTACGCACGGCAAAGCGGGAGGGAGGCGCGCGAACCCGGGACAACATCGCGCAGGCACGCGAGGCGGCGCCCAGCGGGAGGAGGCACGTCGTGACGCCGGCTTCGGGCCCCTCGGACGGCCAACTCCCAAGCGAGGGACGCACGCGGGAATCTCACCACCATCGCCCCCGTGGCGTACCGGCGGTCCCGCTGGCAGGAACCCTCGTCGTGAGCAAAACCGATCCGAGAAGACCCTTCAAAAGCCACCGCCGCCGCGACGACGTGCCTCCCCCACACCGGGGGAGCAGCCTCACGAGCTGAGCGCCGTCCCCCCCCCAAGAGAACGCCAACACAACACCCAACTCGACCGTCCGCCGGTGGCCAAACCGGCGAGGATCGCAGAAGGCTGATGCGGGTGAGGAGGGCACGCCGGAAGCACAACAAGAAGAGCAGCGGGAGGGTCACCGGGTCGGGTCACCGGGGCGAGAGGTGAGTGAGCGAGCGGCCACCCCCTCACACGGGCGGGTGGCGCAGCCGCAGACCAACGGGGAGGTGGGACCTTTCCGGGCACAGCCGGCACGCCAGGTAAACGAACGCGGGATCTCACCACCCCCAACTCCGGGGCGGTCCCGCACAACGCCTGGGACACCGAGCCGGCCGACCAGTGGACCGGAAACCCCTACCGCGGCAGCGGCGGGCCCCCCCAAAAGAGGCCCGAGAGGGAAAAGGCAGCTCTCGCACACACCTCAAAGACCCCGTGAACGCCCGCGGAGCCGCCCGCGCCAGCAGGGCCCCACCGCCTCCATCCACACCACACCGCCGGGCACAGCACCCATCATCGACCGCCTCTTTTTCGGCCGCGTGAGCAAGGGCCCACACACACCGGGATCCTCGGCTCCGGAGGGCCAGAACCCCCCCCAAGCGGCGCACCACGACGGGCACGGCGGCCCCGGAACACCGCGGGGCCCAGCGCCCGCACGGCGCCGTCGTCGCCAACGGGCGGCGGCCCACACAGACGCTCGGGAACAGCATCGCCAGGGGCCGGAGGGGGAGGGGGATGGGACCCCCAAAAACCCCACGGCAACCCAAGCACGAGGCCGGGAAGCCACACACCACACGCCCTCGCATCGCGACCCGGCGCGGGCTCCAGGCTCCGCCACTCGACACACCGCACGCGAGGCAGGGGCGGGGACGGATCGGGAACGTCCTCCACTCACCACACCAGAAGACGGCCCGGGAGAGGTCCCGCGGGACCCTCCCCCAGCTCGGAGGGGGGAGGCGCGGGCACGCAGTTTACTGACGCGGGCAGCCACTAGCGCTCAAAAGCGGGGCAGGGAGCGGCAGGGCCACGGGAGCCCATCGGGGGCGGGCCCCCACCAACCCAGCAGCGCACGCCACTTCCCGAACGAGGATCGCTAGAGAACCTCTCCTCACTCTGAGGGTGGCCCGCACCCAACCCCGACGGGAACCCCGCCGGGAACCAGCACACATCAGAGGCGTCCATCCTTCCCACCACGGGGGGCAGGGAGGGGTGGGGCACGGGGGGGGGGTTCTGCAGCAGCAGCAACACCAACCCTGGTCGGTCAGCCTTGCCGTGCGGGGCCAGAGCAAAGTCGCGCACACGGGCGGGA